TAACGAAGGGTACCGTAGAAGAGGCAGTGCTCGTTATAATGCAGTACAATAGTAGTGATTCACCAAATGCTGAATGAGCTGTTATCTTGCAGTAGATGAAGAATCACTTACAGAGTCTGAAATAGATATGTCATTGGCCAGAAATCCAATAAATCTTGTAGTGCCCCTTTGTGCCAAAGAACATTGCCATAGCTCAGCCTAAAATAACTCAATGTTTCATCTCTGTTGCAATCCTATTACTAATAATAATTTTAATAGTAACAAAATGCCATCCGAGCAGTGTCCAGTGGGCGGAATGCTACTGATGTTCTGCCACATATACATGACAGGAGGCATGACTGTGGGATTGCACATCAGATCCAGTATTGCCTTATTGCTGTTGTAAGAGAAGCCTGATCTATGGCAAAAAGCAAGCTACCATGGCTGGGAGCCCCATTTGCTGAGGGGGCTCCTAGCGGCAGGGACCACTGTGGCAATGCACTTGCAGTGCCTGCCACTTTAAGGGCTGAGTCAAGCACTGCTTCATTGCAGCAGCCATTTTAAAACACTGGCTGCCTATATAAATACAGCAGTTTGCTGCTGACAGTGAGGCAGAAACATTGCTTTGTTGAAAGACTGTATGAAACATCCAGGAGGTATGGGCAAGAGCTGATGGGGATGGCTAGGAGGCTCTTGGTCCTGGACATGACCTAAAACTGCACCCTGCCAGGGATGGGTGGCCTGGTGGGGCACTCCTGATGGTGTGGGAGCCCCCAGGAGATGCCAGGCCAGTTACCACCCTGGTGAAAGGTGGGTCAGGGCACCTTAACCCTTAGCCTCCACAACACTGTGGTTACAAGGGGCCTCCACAGGAGAGGGAGCCTCCACAGGAGAGGAAACCCTGGAGCCCTAAAAGAGGGGGTAGATGTATAACCCCAGACAGGGAGTGATAGTGAGGGCCTGGAAGAGGGTTGAGTAGGGCTGTGAGTCAGCATGAAAGGGAGCACGTGGGCCAACTCCCTGGAGATCAAGTGGGTTGAGTAGGGCTGAGGGTAAGTCTGAAGGGCAGCCCTGACGGGATGTGTTGAGTAGGGCTGTGGGATGGCCTGAAGGGCAGCACATGGGCCAACCCTTTGGAGATCAGGTTGAGAGAAGTGTGGAGCCCCAGAAAGAGAGAACAGAGGACTGAGAGCCTGTGAAAAGGTCAAGATTACATACCTGGAGCAGGCCCTTGGTCAGGGGAGTTTACCCGGCCATGGTGGCATGGCCACGCTCCAATGAGAGCTCCCGATTCCCCCTAGTATTGTTTTATTACCTTGCTGGGTGAAGCAGATCGGGCTTATTAAGCAATCCAGGGTTATTTCTGGTCCTGGGAGGAGGGATGGTAGAAGGGAGAGGCGGGGCATGCAGATAGAATGAATGCCTGTCTGCTGCCCTGAACTGAGGTCTCCCGAAACAGGGCAAGAGACCTGCAGGGTCTTTAGAGCTTGGAGGAGCTCAAACGCCTAAAGGGGAAAAATGCTTCTGCATTAATTGGTTGCTGCGCTCAGTCAGTTAAGCTCACCCGGTATCAATTACTGAAGAAAAAAAAAGGGAAAAAGTGGTTCCAGCAATTAAGCTCTCGTGGATTAAGGGCACAGGGAGTGAGAGGCTGCATCTGAGTCCTCTGCAGCCAGGAGAAGCACCAACGGACAGACAGCAAGTGGCCTGTAGTTTTATTTCATTTGCTAAGAAGTTTGTTTGGTTTTATTGTATATACCTGGTCTGACACTAGGCAAGTGACAGTCAGCCCTGGGTCAGGGAGTCATCACCCCTCCTCCATTAATTAAGTCATCAAAGTTGCGGCAGATGAGATAATAGTGAAGAAGACCAACCAACCCAACTGAGTTGACGGGCACTGGCCTTGGGGAAGAGGAAGGCCAGTGAATGTCAATGAACCGCAAAGGCTCATGTCCATACACAGTAATATCCCAACAGAGCCCAGTACATGGGGCTGGGGGCCCCGTGTGTGTGCTTGGCCCAGGAACTTGGCTGGCCCTACCCAAGTGAGGGTCATGGGAGAGGCCCAAGGGACTCTATGTCTGCCACCCAAGGCATGATCTGGATAAAGCCAATGGCCTGCAGGAGGCAGCAAGACAGAAAAAGTTGTCGATGCGAGAAAGAGACCCTGTGAGAGGGGGTGGAATGCGAGAGGCCCTAGTGAGAGGAGTGAATGTGTGTGTGAAAGAGGCCTGACAATGAGGGCTAAACTTGGCCCGGCTCTAGGCTGGGAGCATAATGACACCATGGTTGCCATCTGCAAGGCATGGACTGCAGTGTAGGGGAGGTTTGAAGCCACAGATCATGCCCCCTGGCATCGGGGCATGTGATGGGCAGTCTCCTGCATTTTACCACTTGTTTTGAGAACAGCAAAGTCGTGGCAGGAAAGACTGGGTGGACTGCCCTATAGAGACAGGTGGACAGGTTGGCATGAGACCCAGCCCGGAGTATGCCCTCTATCACAACCACATGCAGCCAGGACTGAGAGTCTTAGATTCTGAGTCCTGGCTGCATGTGGTCCCTGCCCTGGCACACCCATGTCTCCTGCCAGCTTCCACAGCCCTTTTAACAGCTGTGCCCACCCAGAATTTATTTCATGCCTTACTGACATAGCTGCCATAGAAAAGCTGCATGAATCCAACGTGAGCTGCTCTGGTGGCTTCACTCTGGCATCTGCTATCTGTCAGCTGATGTTCTGGCACAAGAATCAACCTAGTTTAATCAACTAGTGTGGTGTAGTCAGACTAATACCTAACTATGCCCAAAGTTATGTTAAGAGTATCATGAGCATTAAAGTGTTTTCCATAGTCTGAATTACTGATTTTTTAAAAATCTTCCTTTGTGTTGCAGAACAACTGAACCAAAGAAGGGTACATGTCATGCCTTACCTTCCCATATTGTATAATCTCTGTGAGCAAAGGATCTCCAAAAGAAAAATGCTGGGGGTGTAGATTGTATTAAGCAGTTAAACTGGAGCAAGGTCCTTCCTGGGTACTGACAGGGAACATCTATTAATTCACTGTAGTTATTGCACATTAAGTTTAGTACTTGTATAATCAACGTTACTGCATAGTAGCGCTGGCACACGCCTTTTTTAGTGAGAATACTCTGCAGTAGCATATTAGCACTGTTAATGATGTGATGCACTACTGCTCAGTATTAGGCTACTGCACAGTTACTGTCTCTTGTAGACGTGCCCACAGAAGCACAAAGTACCTGCTTCTAGAGTTAGGCAGAAATTTCTGACATTTGGGTTCTGAAAGAGAGGAGTTGCCTGCATTACTGTTTGTTAGCACTACTGAGCAGGCAAGCAAAACCTGTGTGCACTTGTAAATGAACAAATTATACTAAAGTGGATGACTGCATCTCCAGTTTCTGCTCCAAAACTAATCCAAGAGTTCATGGGTTGTGCAACCTGTTGGCCAGGAGTATCATGTGTTTCTCCGTAGTACATTCTAGCCCATGTTGTGATCTCGCTCTCTCTTCCTTCCTACCTACTTCCCTACTGTCCTATATTTATTTCTTTTTCTTTTACATAGCTATAGTGTCTGCTGATGGGAGGAAACTGTCAGATCTCTCTGCTTCCCTCTCAGCTAAAATCTTCCTTTTTCTTCCCCCAAAATTGATGGGGCCATCCTTAAATAGACTAATTCTGTGTCAAGAATTCCATTATGACTGCTTCTTCTGGAACATTCCCCCTCACAGCCTTTTCTTGCCCTCACTTTGGCCAGTTTTTCCATCCCCGTGTTGATTTTTGCCTCTTTTTTTTCTGTCCAGGCATTTCTAGCCCTAGTACCGCCTCTGGGTGCAAGAGTTAGGATCAGACACTGCTGAATCACAGGTTATCTCAAGCTGAGCTCCTACCTCAGTTCATTCTTATAATTCCAGTGGGCTGAATGCTACTGGACAGTCCCAGCTGCACCAAAGGTGAAAGCAGATTAGCCAATGAGCATTTAACTGTATTTGGCCAAACAAGAGGAACTTACTGTCTCCACCCTTAGACTGCTTCAGGATATGTCAACAGAAGAGAATCCTGAGGAGCCGTCAGCAAAGATGCACTAAAGCTGACCCCTCTTGAAAAATTTATGATGTGTACAATTAAGGTAAAGAGAAAGAAAAACATCTTATAATGAGGAGTGCTAATTAATAAAGGTTTTTCATGTAAATCTCTTATAATGATATCTGAAAAGCCGGGCTTGGAGATGGGAATGTAAGAATATATGTATGGATCCTGACAGCCTTGTTCATCATATACAACTTCTGTTCATTGATACCAGTCTGTATTTCTTGTGCTTTCTTACTTGGTCAGATCTAAACTAGTATGATTAACTATATCTTTTTCTGATATTTGTACTCATTATTTTATTACCTTTAGGTTTGGTCCTACATAGTTAAACCTAATTGCAACCTCCCATCAGTTTTAATGATGCAGGCTCTAGCCCTGATTTCTAATTTGTGTATTATTGGTAATAGTATGCAATACTTTGCACAAAATTTGTAGGCCTGCATGTCAAAATGGTTCATATGTATATGCTCATTTAGACTTCCCTCTGATATTTTCTTTTCATGACCTGATATCTTTCTGGGATTGAAGAAAACAAAAAATATTTAATTTTAGATTGTATTTGAAACCACAATGACACTTGCAGATTAATTGTGAAACCAATGGATTATACAGTGTGACAGCATGCAGGACATTCTGACAACTTTCTCCCACTTCAGTTCCTGAGTAACTTATAATTTCCTCAATATGACAAAATCCTGATTTAACATTCATGCTGTGCTTCCATATTCATTTTTCATTTCTCAGTAAGTTAATGAGACTCAGAAAACAGCATTCTTTCAAAGTTATCTTTACCAGAAGTTCTACTGTAGTACTGAGTTTCCAGCAAGCCATCATTTAAAACAAAATTGTTTAAGCTATGTCTTTAAGGGGTGTATTAAAACTGTCAAATGGTTGAATACATTCTTGTGTGTTACAGACAATCCTGGCCTGCTGAGTCACGTTCCAGTTGGCATTAGAATCCTGGATGTCAATGACAACCCTCCAGAGCTTGCCAGAGAATATGATATAGTTGTCTGTGAGAATGCAAAGCCTGGTCAGGTAACACATTAGTCTCACAGTTGCCTTTCTTCTAACACATGACACAAAAACTGCTTTATTTCTGTTAATGCCATGTAAGAAAGAGGTTTGATTTGGTGAACACTTAAATATTGTAATTCTTGGAGGAGGGAAATAATCCCATTATAGCTTCACATTTCAAATTGAATAAAACTTTTACATATGATAGGATAAGGGGAAAGTACATTTCAATATCTTTTAATTTTTGCTAAAATACAACTATCAAATATTTGTGTTTAGTCAAGATGAGAAAAATTTAAGTCTTATCTGATAAGTGAATGAAGGCTTATCGTCATCAGTAAAAGGGGATAATAACCTTCTCATCCCAGTTTTACCTGGATACAAGGCTTCATAGATTCTTTGTACAATGGCAGATACAACATAGTTGTAACAGTGACTCTTCACGTGTTAGCTGTCTTTAAGAATAGTTTGCATAATAAGAATGACAGAGAACATTATTCTTTCATGAGGGATCCCTTTAGATTGACACCAAAGTTTCATATGGTTTCTGTATTCAGCGTAAGACTGAACTGGTAAGCTATCCTGCTACTTCCATTGCTACTATGCTCCATCGGCATCCATGGCTTTATAGCACTTCTAACACCCTGCACCCTCTTTGAGGATTGCACACTGTAACTATCACTTTCCATTGGGCATCCACTAGTTCACTTGAGTGTTTTAAGATGGATGTTGGTGTGAAATTGTCTTCAATACTCTCTGTTCATCTGGGGATACATCCATGCTATTTTACATCATGACCCTTGCTTCAATGCAGTTTAGTGGCCCACACTAATAACACTTTGAAGGACCTTCTACTTCAGCAGCTCAGTATAAAAGAAAGCAATAGTCTGCATGTTATTAACGTACTTCTTAACTGAGAAGATTTTATTACTTATTTTGTTTACTATTTACTTGTATGTTGGTAATGCATCAAGTTCTAGTGAGATTCAGGGTGTCATTTTGCTGTATAAAAATGCATATAGGAAACCCTGGGTCCTATTCCAAAGAGCTTGACCAGAATTAAGATGAAGAGGAATGAGGAGAGTAGTATCAGTAGTGCAACTAAGAGGTAAAGGAGGATGCAGGGCACTTGGACCAAGAGGCAAAAATAGCTGGCAGCATGGATTCAGCTCCTAAATGTTTCCAGAGCATTGCTGGAGATGCATGGAATCTTTTAAAAGATTCTAATAAATATCTATTTATTTATTTATTCATCAAAAATATTAAAGCAAAATTGGAAGGTGGATTAGAATTCTATTGCTTTTTTACCAAATGTGCATACTATAATCTCCACTTTTAATATTTCAGGTCACTTAGGCATTCATGTAATCTCGGAGAAAGCAATATGCCCCCAAAACTACATAATATAATTTATACTTATGCTAACCTTGATAAAAATAAAAATTAACTGTTAAAATAGAACCTGCCCTGGGAATAATATTTTTCTTTATTGTAATACAAAACTTGTTTTAAAATATTGATAGACTCCACAGAAGTTGTCACAATGGAGTATTGTAGGCACCACAGTGTGAAAGAGTTTCCAGGACAGAGGTTGTTGGACTAAGAACTAGCTTAGGGAAGACAATCCATATTTGAGAGATTCCCAAATTTATTATAAGCACTTTAGTTATGGAAATTAGAATACGATTGAATATGGAAGGCATTAGGCCCCATCCCCAGAAATTTCTGTGTTAGGAATAATAGAGCTAAAATGTAATATTTTATATTAGATTAGGTCAATAATAATTAATGTAGCATTGTAATTTTGACCATTGCTTGAATTTCATAGTCTCTACTTTGCTTTTTAAACAAAATATCTACATATTTTTCAGTCTTTTGAAAATCATGATTTGTATATTAAATCAGATATGTAACAACAAATATGGATGTGAAAACTATTAGTTACAAAAGGCATTGTCTTGTGAGTTACTTTGTAGGTTTATGAAAAGCAGTCACTTTTGGTTTTAAAAACATGTATTCTGATAGTTTTATTTGTTGTTTTCATCTTCTATTTGTCTTGGGGATTTTGTGTGGAGGGGTTGGACATCTTTTGGCTTTAAGTAATTCTCAAGTATTTACAAGAAGAATATTTTGAGTTTTTTAATACTAACACATTAGGCTCTAAATCCTATCTTTATTGAAAACTTTAACTATTCTAAAAAATTAAATGGGAAGGGATTAAACCTGCATAGTTTTTGTTATACCCAATTAGTAAATAGTTAGGTAAAACATTAGCAAGTAATTAGAAATTCATGGAACTTGGTTGTAGGAATGGGTGGAGTTTTAAGTGGCATTGAGAACTGCTAGAAATGTTTGGTTTGTTATCATTTAGAAACACTTGAAAGGTAACAAAGGCATGTTTTTTTCAGGCTTTATAGTAATGAATTTGCTGGGAAATTGTTTCTCATTCCATTTGTAGTAAATATGAAAGCTGCTGATCAATGCAGGGGAGGAGTGATAAAAGTTTAGTGATGGCCAACTTTGTGTCGTTTGATGATTAAATATGTTGAAAGTTAAAAAAAGAAAAACAACTGACTGGACTAAAGTAATGAAAACCAGTAATTCTTCTGAAAATACAAACATTTTAAAAAACTTATTTTCAGTATAGGAAGGTTTTGTACCAATCTTAAAAAGAGCTGTTTTCTCACATGCTGTATGATCAAATATTTCATTGTATTATACTTTGCCTTTTGAAGTGGAAAGGCAGAACATTTCTGATTTTAATGATCCTGTAAGTGAGGTATTTTTTGTACCACTGTCTTTTGTTTAAAACATTAATGATAATTTAACCCTTATGTTGTGCTTTTTAGTAGAGTTTCATTTAGGAGTATCTATTTTTTGTTATTTTTGGAGGATTTAAGATAACCTGTAAATTCAGTCAGTAATTATGTAGAAAGGCAGACTTTCAGAGTAAATACTGAGTGAAGTCTTTCAAGAAAAGACTAAAATAAAATAAAAAAGAAAAGGATTACTGAAATTCAGTATCCTATCCAATGAGATGGGTGTGTTTAGCAAAATATTTAAATGTAACTGAAAAAGAGAAGTCACCTTATCTTATACTAAAGCCTGTTTCAGGATTGCTAGAATTCTTCCATAGTCACCGTCAATCTGATGGTTGATTGACTAAAGGCTAGGGTTTTTTTTCCCCCACTGATTAGGTGCATAAGTAGATTTAGGTGCTCATATACATCTGAAAAATACTGAATGCAAAAGGTGGCTCGGTCCATCCCCTCTTCACTGTTATTTGTGACTCAAACATAAAGATAATGTGATGTTATGCTACAAAAATAAATGCTTTAATGAATTTTCAGGACTTCACCAAGGTAGAATAGAATTGTACTTGAGCCTCAGTTCACTCATCTACCTGGTAGGTGGAATATAAGATGACCCTAACAGACAAGAAGTCATGCCCTAAGTGACTTTCAGGATATCTGCATTTATATACATCTATACGAAGTTTGTTGAAATTTTCTCAGCATGGGGAGAAAACATGGCAAATATTTTATACAGAAAGCTACCTTATGAGGGAGGACACACTAAAATTACAAACTTGAAAATCATGTGGAGAGGAAACTGAGGCTTATACCACTAATTCCAAGATCTCAGAGGAAATCAGAATTAATCACATTAACTACAAAGATTCAAAATGTCCACTAACAAGCTCTTGAAGCAATTTAGATACTCCGTGGAAATGTTCCGTTATCCAGATGACATGAAAAATGGTGTAGGCTTAAACAGAAGAGGTTGAAAACGTAGAGGTTGAAAACATAACATGATCAAGGTTTCCTTCTTGCTCACTTTACACCAATCTCTGGTCAATGTCTGCTTTACCAGGGAAGTTGTCACATCCCCAAATGGCAAAACTTACAACTGAAGCTGAATCCAGTATTTTGTTAATTTAAAAATGACCTGCATCCTTACTGCACAACTACGTACTATAGCCCAATTTTAATATTTTTGTATTGGTTTATTCCAAAGTGTGTAATCATGATTAAGTTCTGGAAAGCTAATCGGTTAGTAAAAATGCACTTGCACATTAAAGGTACTTATAAATAAGTAGGCAGGAATATTTAGCCAGTAAACTGGGTAAATTATTGGGTTCTTGTGTTTTGCTTACATAATTGAAAAAGATTTGTATCACTACTACTATTAATATATACTACTACTACTGATGAGGAAAGTTTGTAGATTTTAATGTTTAAATAATATGTCCAGGAACTGTGTTTGGAACAGAGCTTCAGTTTTACAAAGAATTTTGCAATGTTTAAGTTTGAACCAAAACTGTGAAGTTTCTAAATTCTTTGTGAATTCCTTTTATTGTTTTCCCTTTTCTGGAAGGGGGGGAGCATTAGGAGGATGGACGAGGTAATAAAAACTGCATCAGGACTTGTTTCCCCAGGCTTTCTCTCTCCTCCTCCTTCCTTTCCCAAGAGCTCAATTTATCTTTTAAATATGTTAGTAAAACTTAGTGTTACAAAGGATTTATTTCAGCAAAACCCCTAAGGCATCTTCCACTCAAAACACTTACGAGGATGACATCATTTGAAAACTCAACTCCAGACTTTGTTACTCTAGTATTCACCTTGCTTAGGAAATTTTGTATCTCACAGGGACTTCTGAATGATGCATGATAAACGTAGCTTGAGGCACGGGACCAAGTTTCACCCCATCATAAATAAGTGCAATTCCCAATGAGGTCAATTGGAATAATGCCAGAATGGCATTTGAACCTGTGACAGAAAGAATCAAAAGTTTTATTGCTACGTAGTTCTATCCACCTAAAAAGTAAAAGTATACAGTGTAGTTCTGATCAAACTAATGAACTATGACATAGTTTCATAGTAGCTAGGGTCAGGAGAGACCTGAACAGATCACCGAGCCTGACCCCTGCCACAGGCAGGAATGAATGCTGAGTTCACAAGACCCCAGACAGGCGATCATCCAACCTCCTCTTGAATTTGCCCAAGATAGGGGCGAGGACC